GGGGGGGGGGGGGTAAGCACATCGGAAATATGGATTTAGATTCCCAAGACGTGGTGGAACACCTAGCGCAGGCTCCAAAACGATTCAAAGCGCACGCGGCAGTCCCGCCACCGCCAAAATCATGCTACAGTGTGAACCTCCTTCATAAGCAGTTGTGCCTTGACTTGCAACGAGACACTCCGACGCGTACAGCCGGGAATCGAAAGCGTCCTCTCCACCTAAGGGCAAGAGGAACTGCATGCGCGTCGTTGAACACGGTGTCCTTGAGAATAATTGAACAACAAGGGAGGCCCTGCCGCCCACCCGACATGGGAGTCAAGGAGGGCCATCCCTTTCCAAGCCCTTGCACTCAAGTCTCGAACGGGCTACAGGGAAAACGTCTCTAGAAAGCAACCTAGGTACTGCAAATACCTGACATACCAACGACAGCGCCAATAACTCTGACTATGGCGACTTCTTCATTCGCTACACGACAGGGTTTGAACCCAAGCAGCAACAGCAGCTGCTACTTGGTGCTGGCGCGCAAACGCATCAAAGAGCTAGGTCTCGAGTTCCTTCATGCGAACACAAATCAGCAAGAGACGTAAAACTCCATCGGGTACAAGCAATCGCCGTACCAGCGCTGCAACAAAAACGCCCGTTTGTTCCGATCGGAAAACGAAAACCACGAAACACAGGCCACATCAAAGATCGCGCATGCGCCTGAGACAACTGCGAACGAGTGATTGTCTCAACTCCATCCAGGATGAGGCGAACATAGCGGTACCATCTACTACGGTCACGTCCGACTTGGTCATGAAAAACGTTCACCAGCGAGGCGTAGTTCTCCCGATAGCTTCTCACGTGCGAGTGGCCACACAGGACAAAGCGGGCAGAACTATTCACCCACCTTCATCCGGTACACGGGCGGGTTCGGCTCCTTCTCCGTGACGGCCTTGCGGCCGACCACCTGGTACTGGCGCATGACAACCATCTTCCCAAAACAAACACACACGCACACCCACCAAATAACGGGGTTGGGGTAAGGTGCAGCAGGAGTCAAGACAAGAGAGATGTCGAAATCCCCATTTTTAGCTTGGCGAGAAAGCGGATGGGTGTGGTGGACGTGGACATACGAAGGGCACGGGAAACCGTGCATTCGATGTTGAGTGCCGCTACCGAGTTTTGCGGAGGGTATCGCACGGCTGCCGGGCTGCCTGAGGAAACTACGACCACTCTGACAGCTACTACTGCTTCTGGATTCGATATCCATCCTCATTCGAAAGAAGTGTGATATTCCACAGGTTTGTCTTCTGGAAAATTTAATCAGCATACTCTTAAACACGGGAAAGCAGCAGCAGCAGCAACAACAGTAGCAACAGGAATAGCCTCGACAGAAGTAAGCACAGCTCAAGACCAGACGACGTGCATCCTGCAGGGTCTAGACCGCGGTGGTAACGGGATGAGGGCATAGTTTCACAATAATTTATGGCGTGTACAGCTGACGGGTTGTTCTTGGCTATTACTGATTGTCATGGAGGACAAACATCAACCGACTGGAGGCTTGCGAACCTGCACAGCTGAGGGGTTGTTCTTGGCTGTTACTGGTTGTGATGGAGAACAAACGTCAACCGACTGGAGGCTTTCGAAGGCCGGTGTCTCCTGTAACGGGAAGAGTCCGCAGAGAGCCGAACGAACATGCTACCATTTCCTAAATGATATCGAAAGGTACCTCCGTGTTGCTATCTACTTCATCTACAATGGAGGAGGGGATATTATCACCTGCCCGCCTTGTTGAGCTGTTGTTCGGCAATCGGGCGTCAAACTTTTGTGTAGACTATGCGGTACAGCAGTACACAGAAGATGGGGGTGGTATACAAGTTGACCAACGGATACCAGTACAAGGTGCTGCTCCCTACACAATCAAGGGAATTGAGCGCCAGAGAATTATGGCAATGTGCGTTTCGATTGACCGGTATAGTGCTCCACGTGTTCCGCGCACTTTTACAGCTGCACTCGTGGCCTATTGTAGGGACAGGTCTTGCCTTTGCCTACAGAAGTACAACATCGACACGGGGGCATACTAGAAAAAAAAACATACCATCATACTACTGCTGCAGAGCCATCTTTGGTGTACGCAACAAACCACTAGTGCCAAAGACACAGGACCAAAAACACCGCGTTTCAGGTGCTGGCAGGGTTGCGTGATGCTGCTTCTCCCCACGCACGGCTACTGTGCATGCGGGGAACGCCGTGTAGGTGTGCGCGATGTCCATGATGCATAGGCGGTACAACCATGCTCGACCGAGCGCTGTGGGCGAGGCAACCAACTCCCACACATAAGCAAGGCATTCTTTTTCATCGACAGAGTAGCGAGACAAGAAGGTGTGATTACTCGCACACGCACTAACGCTCTGTCGAGGGGGCGGTTTTGGGCAGCCGCCAGGATCGTGCGTTCAACTGGCGGGTCGCGTGACAACGGACCCACGGGGTGGCTGCGCTCCCAATTCAGGTGTAGTCCTGCTACACGTCGATCAAGCCCTGCAGAGAACAGCTCATCCAAACGAACGCCGACAATGCCGCCGCAACAAGAACTACCCCGGCCTCTATTCTCCACAGCCGCACAAAAGCGTGCCGCCTCTTCCCTCCCCGTTACAGAAGCAGCAGCGGAGAGAGAGACAGCACCACAGGCCGTCGGCAGTCGACAGCCACCCTCACCGCTGCTGGTCCACAAAAAAAGCGTGTTCAAAATCTCTCGTTTTCGTGCTCCAGGCTTGCGGTGACGTTCCTTGCAGAAGAGCGAACCTCGCAAGCTGGATACGGACTCTTGACAACCACCAGTGCTCTCTGCTCGCTCACCTTGAACAGCCGGATTCCGTGGGGTTGCCTGAGGATCAGCAGGACTGGCCTCGCAGCTCCCCGGCAACGCAAAAGCTAGAGAGGGGGGACGTAGAATCAATCCTCACGAGGTAGGGGGGTACATATGTAACTGCTGTGTTGCTCTTTACTGTTTTTCGACGAACCACGTGGTGCTTTTCGACCATTGGTCCGTATACTCTGCATGTCTTCACAGTCTGGCCTCGTGCTCTCGCCGGGGGGAATATCGTTGTAGTTAAGCAGCGATCTAGACTTTGATATCGAGATAGAGAATACCAGCGATCCACGGCTAGAGTGCTGTTTTCCAAAGGCTATCATAGATCATCGTTTGTTTGATGCTGCCAGACAGCCTCGATCCAGATGGCGCTCGTCAGTACCGAGACGCAGCTGCGGTCCATGTCTGCTGGGCCCGAGCGATTCATGACGATGAACCTCATGTCTTCTGGGCCATGCACCGTGAGCAAGAAAGCAACGTCGTACGGAAGGACGGTTCGCAGGCTGAACACGAGGGACAACCACACAACTGCGGACGTGGACGGTGCTCGGACCTTCGTCCGAACGAGTACCCTGACCAACAAGCCCGATTCTTACGGCGTCGCGGTGAGTCCGACACACACATGTTCTTGATTGCTGTTGTGTACGCGTCGAACGGTTCCTCCGTTGTTTCTGCATCAGGTGTTGCGTGGACTTGTGCTTTTGTCCCTCTCTAAGCCACGCGCGGGATCTCCGCGTTTGATATGTATGCACTGCAGTCGACTCTGTGTCTTGGGGTAGACAGAGTTTTTGCGGATGAATACCCTATTTCATCATTACAATTTCATTATTTCAAAGAAAGAACATCGTGGTATCGTGGTTGAGTGTGCCTATTTAAAAAAGTCTCGACGAAGGTTGATCATGTAGTCTAAGCTCTTTAGGTACGTTGCGACCTCACTCTTGTGATCTGTACCGTCCGATCTTCCTCGACAACCTGCGTTACAGCAGACAACAAATGGTGACAAACATGTTCTCCAGGGACATGTTCTTACCCCAGCAGTTGTGATATGTTTCTGCCGCCAGTGGATGAATGCTAAGTGCCGATGACATCTCTCGTCACCTGTTCGGTCGCTGAGACAACAATCACTGCAGTATGCGTGCGAGATAAATAGAGGCCCGACCAACCAACGAAGCGAAGGTCCCGCTCAATGATACGACTGAGGTGTTGCTCGGGATGCTCATTGCCATCTCGACGGCCCGAAGAAGCCGCCTTGAACACAATACAGCCTTCGCATACCTCTCTTCGCGATCCCAACGCATTGCCTTCGCCTGCAGGACATACTTGGCACCGGCTCTATGCGCTTGCACAAGGACACCAACAAGCCGGATCGACAACTCTACCACGACGACATCGAGGGGAGCAACCCGCGAAACCAGTGGCGCTTCCGAACGACACGCTGCATCGACCCTCTTGAGCCCGAGTACACGCTACCGTCGTTCACGACCGCGACCCCGATTGCTCCCAAGTTCACGCGAGACTCTCACGATGTATCTGACATAGAGGGCACCAAATCTAGGCCGCTGTACCCCTTGGAGCAGCGGCAGAACCACCTCGTGGACGATATCGAGGTAGGTGTATTTTGAACGGATTGGAGGAAGTGTTAAACCCGGCCATTGGTCGCAGTTGATGATGGTTTCCTTATCGTAGTCCGGTTATTCGCGGACGTTAACCCACTCTCCCTCGAAACACTGTTGGTTACTTCAACCTAACCCCCAAATTCTAAGCCGCAGTTTGACGATGTGTGGGCAGCAACCTGCAGCTGAGACACATTTCTGATACCATCGGCTCCGCAGCCCCTCCTCTCGACGTCGATTGACCACGCTTGTTGAAAAAATATATGTAAAAAAGCAGGGGGCCCAGTCCGGCTGGAAGCCGAGGCATCGGCGCGCTCGGCACGAGGCCGCCCCGCTGGACCACTGCCTCAATGTGAGCGACATCACCGGTGGCGGGTTCCGCACTCGGAGGGCGACGAACCCCCTCACCCCGAGCTACCGCGTGAACGGGATGGACGTCGCGGACGACCCGGTCAAGTCTCGGCCGCGCGCCCTGCCCAAGGCGAAGGACGGGCCGTTCTACCCGCTGACCACCGCGGACATCGAGGGGGCCACGCCTGGGTGGCGCCCGCTCCCGCAGGTGAACCCCCCGCTCGAGGCGCGGCGGCACTTCCGGAACACGAACTTCATGGGGGACATCCCTGGCGCTCAGGCGGACACCGTGAAGCACTCCATCTGCACCGAGCGCCACGTGAACCCCCTGGACCCGGTGTACGACAGCCTCGACGGTGAGCCGCTGGCCAACCCGCAGACGCCCCTGTACAAGGAGCCGGCCTGCGTCGAGGCGGAGGCGCAGCTGGACAGGTCCATAGCCGCCGAGGAGGCTGCCGCGGCAACGGCAGCTGCCCCCGCGATCGCTACCACACCCTCGGCGGCGGCCACCCCCGCAAAAGGTCAAGCGCTCGGTCGGGTCAGCAGCAACCAAGAGGACGTGTCTCAGCAGCAGCAGCAGCAGCAGCAGCAGCAGCGGACGCAACAGCGACAGCCTTGGGAGGCATCGATGAGCCAGCGGCCGTCGTCGGAGCCGCTCGCTTCAGCCCGTGCCGGCGGTGACAGGGGCGGGGACGGCAGCTTGTTCGTGTCTCCCCCGCCCGACCAACCCGCTTCGAGGACAACAAGAGCGCTGTCGTCCGCCGGGATCCGGGGCGCTGGTCGCCCCGAGGGAAGCAGCAGCACCAGCAGCAAAAAAGAGACAGACAAGCGGATCCGGCGACTCGAGAACGAGGTTCGGCTGCTGCAGAGAGACAAAGAGGTTTGGCAGCAGACCAGAACAGCAGTGGCACCTGGAACCGCGATCAAAAACAACAACAGCCGCGGCGGCGCCAGCAGTAGTAGCGGCGTTGGCGGAGGGAGGACCACGTCGCGATCGTGGCCTGGGTCATCAAGACACCGCAATGGAAGAGAAGTGAGCAGCAGCGGCACCGCCGCCGCGGGGGGGGGGGGTGCGATGGTGCTGCGGTCGCGCAGCGGGGATCACGGCAGCCAGAAGGCGGAAAGGCTGGTGCTGCGGAGCGCGAACGGGACGCCTCGGGTGCGGTTGACCCCGTCGGAGATAAGGTCAGCCAGGGAGTACACGGACGACGTCACCTCGGTTCGGGACCTCCAGTGATTCTGTGTTTGTTAGCGCGCACTCGAAAAATGAGCGGCGGTTCACTAAGGGCAAAGACTGAACTCGTGAATCTTCTCCGTAGCTCAACGCGCTTGTGTTATCGCGTGCCCCGAGATACGAACGTTGTTGCAGAGGTTGCTGCTGCTGTTGCCGCGGCTGGTTTGCGTCGGCTGCCGTGGGGGGCTGGGTCAATGGGTTGCCGCGGCGGCAACAGCGAGTCCGGGGTTAGAGGTGTTGCAATGTATACGCACGAGGGTATGGTGACAGCCGTGAAAAGAGTAGCGGGTCAATAGGAGGCCCCATTAGGGGTGGACAAGTGGGCGGCTATTAAGCAACGTTGAACTCTATTCCGGGACGTGGGCATAACAACACATCGCCCACCACTTCGTTGAGGAAATCTCCAAGTGCGTGTGGTCTATGTAAAAACAGACGGTACTGGTGAAACAACTACACAATACAACCGCGACTCCTAAATTCAACAAAATATACAGAAGCGAAGGTGACGCCAACAACACAAGCAGCTAAACAGACACAGAGGTGGCCGCCTATCCTTCCGCCTCTCCTTGCCAGAGAGTGTGTGCACCTCAAATACCAGCGCCAATACCACCAACACGGCGATCGATAATCCTTAATCATTAACGCCGGCAACAAACTTCACAGTCAAACCCTACCGATGCGCTTCTCAAGCTCGCCGAGAACGTCGCCGCCGCCCCTGCCCCCGGCCGGGCGGCTAGAAAACTGCCCGCCTTTCAGCCGCCGATGGGTGATGAAACTTGCCCCCCGGCTGTTCGCCGGGATTTGTCGCCGCAATCGAGCGCGAGGAGGAGCATCACCATCATCCACGAGATCGACCGTCGTCACTTGCGACAAGCAAGAGGACCGCGCCACGGCAGCGGAGGCCGATCCTCTTGTTATTCTGCCGTCGTCGTCACAGCCATCAGCAGAACAAGTGCCGACGCCACCGCCGCCGTCCGCGAGCGCCGCTTGGACCTGCCGCCTCAGGCGGCCCTGGAACTCGGCGACGATCTCCACCAGATTTCCGCCGTCGGTACGGCCACCACCACCACCACCTGCTCCGTCCTCGCTTGCACGCATCACCGTGCTTCGTGCCGGCCGTCCCGTCGTCGTCGGCGGCGGTGTCTCTCTCGCGCCGTGGCTACCACGCCCCCCCGCCCCGCGCATGCATCCCTCCCGGGACAACACGGCGGCGGCGCCCCTCGTGGACGATGTCTCCGCCGGCTGCAGCAAATGAACGCCCTCGCCGCTCTTTTCATTCCACCCTAGTTTTCCCCCGCCGCCGTCGCCGTCTCCCCTCCTCCTCCTCAGCGTGTCGAGCTCGTGCCTCAGGCCGGCCAACTCGGAGTCCAGGGCGCCCTTCGTAGCGCGGAGCGTCTCCGCCTGGGAGGCGAGGCGAGCGGTCTCGTGCTCGGCGGAGGCGAGGCTGCGCCTGGCCTCGCTCGCGCGAGCAGCGGCGGCAGTGGCGTCCTCTCGCAGCGCCGCTCCGTCCTGCGTGGCTCTGGCGACCTCCGCTCGCAGGTCGCTGGCGCGAGCGTCGAGCTCGTCCATCTTTTTTTTTTTTTGTCGCGAGAAGGGAGGAAAAGAAGCCGGTGATACACAAATGAGGGGTTGTCGTGGCTGCGACAAGTGAACGTCTTCGTGATGCGCAAGGCGCACAGACCTCTCTCCTGTGTTTACGCGCGCTCCCCAAACAACGTGTCTACATGTTGTCCAAATCTCTCACGCGACCCACCCGCACTCAGGTGCCCACCAGGCTGTCGCCAATATGTATTGAAGAGGCGTCCCCAAAAACAAAAGAAAGAAAGACGACACACCGTCGAAACACGCGGGGGGGGGGGGCGTCCTGTCTCTGACCCGACTAACCTCCGCCTCCAGCCGTTCCCTGGCGACCGTCGCCACGCGGAGCCTCTCCTCCTCGCGCTCCGCCGCGGCCGCGACCGCCTCCCGCCTGGCCGAGAGTGCCTCCTCCTCCCTCTCTCGCTGCCGGTCTCGCCTCGCGGCGTCGTCCCGCCTGGCGGACAGGGAGCTCACCTCGCCCACGAGGGACCAGACGCTCTTCTCGGCGCGCAGGTGCTCGTCGCGTAGGGCGGCAACCTGTGGCCGATATGGTGGGATCCGTGAGATTTCGACCGGTGCGCGCGAAGGAGGGGGCGGGGCGAGGGAGTGAGCAATTTGACCGCGGGAGTTTCGGAAGTAGTCGCTTTGGCAGGCCGCATGGCAGGCCGCATGGCATGCCGTGCGTACCTGGCGCTGAATACTCCTCGACTTCCCACGCCTGAGAAAGCGCATCCCCCTTCTCTGAAACAACAAACCATATACTACAAACTCAAGCTGTCACGCCTCTGTTTCGTCGTCACGCCCCCAGCGGAAAAAAATACAATACACCACGACAAACCGATTGGAATATTCTGTTTTTCTATGCATACAACAAGCTGACCTGCTATCCTACCGCCGAGGGGGGGTGCGTTGTACTCTTGTGCGGCACACACGACACAGCACGAGAAACCTCCCGACACAGCAACAACAACAACAACAACAACAAAAACAACAAAAACAACAACACGTCAACGATGCCCCCGCTCGCTCGGAAGACACGCCGTTTCATCACACACACACACACACACACCTCGCGCTTCAGGTCGTCCAGCCGGGCCTGCTGCGCCTCCGCCGCCCCTCTCGCGAACCTCTCCTGCTCCCTCCTCCGCGCGACCCCGGCCTCGAGCTCCGCCGCCTCGTCGCGGAACCCCTCCAGGGTCCTCCTCTCCCTGTCCGCGGCCTCCCTCAGCTCGGCGAGCTCGCTACGGGCGGCGGCGGCCGCTTCCCTCTCGCTGGCGCTCTGTGTGTTTCGACCGTTGGTCAAGCAAGCAAGCAAGCAAGCAGCACACGAGCGAGCGGCGTGCAAAACTCAAGGGAAACAGATGGCGACGAAGGGCCGCGATATTTTCAAAGTGGCTCTGAGGCTTTTACGTGGGGACTCGACACGGTCGACGCACCAGGGCGGAGGCCAACAAAACCCCTACACGCCAGGGGTTCATCCCCGGACAAGTCCAGGGAGGCATCCGTCAGCATGCCCACACACGCAAACTATCGTCACCCATCACCTTGGGGTGGAAGCATGGTGTGTACCGAAGATCTAGCCTACGGAAATCCCACACACAGCAGCTCAAGAGGAAACGAGAGAGCACGAACAAACGGACGCGAGGGCAAGGCGAACCAGTCAATTCCACCATTGCCGCCCGGGGTGGCCAAGCCGGCGGAGCCGACGACGCCCCGAGCGGCGGTGACCGCTGCGAAGGCGGAGGGCAAGAGGGGCAACACGCATGAGGTGTCCATTGGGGTACCCCCAACAGACGAAATACTTGTGGGACTCGCCTGACGTTGCGCCGCCACCGCCGTCGAGCTCAGCTCCGCCTTCTCCCGCGCCAGCGCCGCGGCGCGCTGCCGAGCCACCTCGACCGCGCCTTCCTCCTCCCGGCGCCTCTCCGTGGCATTGGCGAGCTGCTGGCGCGCCCGCGAGTTCTCCGCCTCTAACTCGGCGGCCGCCGCCTGGACCGCCTCGAGGTCGGTCCTCACCTTGTCTGCATGGCGTGGCGTGTGTATGGCGGCATGGAGGCCGGCCAATGGAAAAATGATGTAGGAGGAGGAGGAGGAGGAGGAGGAGGAGGGGCGGCAGCAGGGGGGGCAAAGGGAAGTGTAATCACCGCCATTAGGATATGAATGGAGCGCGGGGGGGTCATGCTTGTGTCCTCTGTCCTGTTCTGTGGTCGTTCTTGTTTTCTGCGCTTAAGTGCCTTCTTGCTTCCTTACAGGGTTTCCCAAGGACCTTCAAACCACACACGCACCTGACCAAATGCACCAGTTCAAGATTTTAACTCTTCACCAAACGGTGCTAAATCCAAAGCAATTTCCTCGACGATTGACTTACTGGCGACAGGAAGAGTTAGCCCATAGCGGCCGGTTGAGGGGAGCACGGTGTTCAACCCGAAAACAATAGGAGTACCAACCAACGACAGCAGCAGCAACAGCAGCAGCAACAACAACAACAACAACAACAACAACAACAACAACAACAACAACAACAACAACAACAACAGCTCAAATATTCAGCAGTAGAGCGCCGCCGAAACCAACAACAGGCGTCCCCGTACCCAAACACGCTCTCTCCGAGCCAATCTCCGCCGTCACCCGGCGCAGTTCCTCCTCGGCGTGGGCCGTCCTAGACTCCGCCGCTTCCGCGCGAGCCTCCTCCTGCTCCGCCTTGTCCCTTCCCCTCTCCGCGAGGCTGGCGGCATTCCGCGCCGCGTCCAGGGCGGCGGCGGCGCGGGCTTCGGCAGCCTCCTGGTCGCACTGCGCCTGCCGGCTGCGAGCGGCCCGGCCTTCTGCCTGAGGCGCAGCGGCCGTGTATGTTGTGTGTGTGTGTGGAGGGAAACGCATGGGTCGCGTTGGAGAGAGAGAGTGGGAGGCAGAGAGAGAGAGAGAGAGAGAGAGAGAGAGAGAGAGAGAGAGAGAGAGAGAGAGAGAGAGAGAGAGAGAGA